AAAAAGATAATTCTGTATCTGTTAATAATAGGAGTCAATGTCAATGTATACTTCATCAAAGACGCACAACAGCATCAAATAACTTTGTATCTCCCTTGACTCTTGAAATGGTGGTGGTGGGGAGGAGGAGGAGGAGGAGGAGGAAGAGGAAGAGGAGGAGAATCCATATTTAAGAGGTCCACTCAGCAAGAATCTACAAGCAACTGGTTCCTTCTAGATATTTTCAATTACACCTTCTATTACTTCTGATTATATTAGCTGAAGCTAATGGAACTGAAACCTAAAATGCTGGGTGGGCACTAGATTGCTTATCCCTGTATTATAGGAATCTACCCTATTCATCTCAAAGCAATTTCAAACTATCTTTTGAAATGAAGGCACTATGGTTCCATGTTAAGATTCTTGTCTGCTGGTCTCCCTTTCAGATTTCCTAAGCCCCAGATACAACTGTATCTCACCAGAATTTCTTATTAAGCTTTCTGACACATGGGCACCTCTTCTTTCTTCTTAATTTACTTCCAAAACAGAAAATATTCCCAAGGACTAGAAGAAGATGATTGCTATGCTTATTCACAAGACAGTAAGGGGATTCATCTAATCTATTAGCCTTTTGAGTATAATAGGAAAATTTTATGTTAGATATCTGAACCAGAATTGGCACAAATGGCTGCATGAAGGATTTCAAATGGGGAACTTGCTGCTAGATAATATGTTTGTGTTGTACCACCTGAAAGTGAAATACTGTACATCTAGACAATTCAGTCTCCTTTATATAGATCTTAGATCAACATTTATTTATTCATGAGCTACCTGATCTCACAATTATTCCGGCTGGCTTACATTAAAAATAAGAAGAAAAAGAAAACAAAATCCCAAGTGTCTGGACAAACATAGTCCCTCTAACAAAATGCCCCCCCCTAACACCCTGACCCAACAATTGGAAGAGCAGCCAAGTTTTTAAAGACTTACAGAACACCATCAGAGGAGGAGCTGCACAGATCCCGTGTAGGGTGGGGGGGAATATGCATTTTGAATTCTATTATGGGTAAAACTACAAAATACTAATATTGATATACATCTGATATTTTTAATTCAAAAGTTGTATATAAATATTTAATAGATGAAAATGCAAATGATCTTCAAAATCCAGTAATGAAAGTCAAAGCACAGCACAAAAACAGTATTAAGATTAAATGTAACGAACTATAAAAAGTACTGCAACTTAGAATTGATAATGAAAATGCGGAAGTGGTATATTTTAGGAACAACTATCAACATTAAAGGGAATGGTAGTCAAGAAATATGCCATAAACTAGCACGTAGTAGAGTAACCATGAAGGGCTTGGACAAGATGTGTCTAAATCCACCCTCTTTGTTTATAAATGCTTCTTGTCTATTTCCCTCAAGGTCATCTCCCTGGTTCTCTACAGGAACCCTAATCTGCAAAGAGTTAGATTCAGAGTTCCCCATATCCATTACAGCTTTCCTTGCTCCATTCTCAAATACTTTTTTAACATTTCACACATGAGACTCTTTGTCTTGGCCCCAACTGGCAAATCAGAGCAGTTATAGCAGTATCCCCTATGAAAATTCCACCTGTATATGTTAGAAGTCGAATTGCTTTTACAAATACTTGTAGAACGCCCTCTTTATAATAAATGAAGGGCAGAATCGTAACACCAATTGTAAAAAAATCTTAATTGCTCCTCTGAGCAGGAGATTGTCATTTTTCTCCTTGGCAATCAAACTTCAACTATTTCCAATAAGGTTGCTAAATTTTTAATAATTGCTATGTCTTGCATAAATAATCTGGTACTTTCCCTACTCTGTTAATTGCTTCAGGTTTTTCTGTACAAGTTTTATTTTATTTTTTTAATGTTACATTGTTGTAATATATTTGGTATCTTGTAATATCATCCTCTTTTAAATGCATGTCAAAAAAACAAACAAACAAAAAATGGTACGCCAGGGACATTACAATATTCAAAACTCCATTTTCTACCACTGCTAGATGCAGAACACCTACACTCTTTTTGCATTAACAGAGCAGAAATCTCCAATACTTTGTTTGGACTCAGAAGAGCATTAAAAACTATTATGCAGCTATGATTTCTGTAGGTCCAACAATGAAGGCATGACTATTATCCCAGTCCTTGGGATAAATTGATAGTTAGCTTTTTGTTCTCTCTCTCTTTATATATCTTGGAAGGAGAGTCTATTCTATAGGATCCAGGAAAGTCACTACAAAATATATCAGAGAAGCATCGAAATCTTTGATGGCAATCAGGACTTTTTTTTTTAACCCGGGGAAGGGAATTTGTATCTTCGGATTTTAAACCTTTTGAGGCCCAAATCTTGATTCAAGATTTTTATTTCGGGGGGCGATTATGCTGTTCTTTAACAAAAGTCTCTTACAGGTCTTTCAAACTAAATTCTCAGGTCCACCCTCTCTGCTTCGAAATGCTTGAGGTAGCATAGAGTAAGGAAGATGTCCTTAATGGAGATATGCAAGCTCTGTTGCCAAGAGAATAAGGGTAAAACATATTTAAAGTCCAAAATGGCCAAATAACATTCAAAAGCATCTCAGACACTTCTCTAATTCACTGAACTACAAGAAGAAAGAAGAAGTACACTACAATCAGACTTGAAAGATGCTGTTATTATAGCCAATCTCAATAAAAGTAGTTTTGGTTTACTGTAGAGTTGATTTCATGGTCTGGCCAACCTAGTGGAGCTGACAAGCAGGGATGTCTGCAATTGAATATAGAGCTTGGAGCATAGTACTGCTATATTGGCTGAAACTATTTTTTTCTTCATTACCACTGGCTCTAGTAGCTCTAGCACAGGGATGTCAAACTGCCGACCCGCAGGCCGGATGTGTCATGCGGAAGCCGCGCCCACCCCATTGCCGGCAATGGCAAAACAGTCATGATACGTTGTCCGACATCACATGACGTCACGAGTTTGACATGTCTGCTATAGCAGATGATAATTCCACTATGGGCTACATCAGCAGAAAACAAAATATTTATATTATATTAATTAAAGATAATTTTATGTCTTTTTGCAGCTCTGATCAGTCTAAAGTATTATTGATCAACAAATGGAGAACATAGAATATCAATCTGAAATTGGATTCTTAACAGAGAGTTTTAAAATACTCATTACTAGGAATACATTAAAGTTATTGGTTCAGGAACGAATCATGAACTATTTACTAAAATTTATCCCTGTTTCTGAGCTGAATCTTTTCTTAGGGGTAGATCAAAATTTCAGTTGTGCAACAGAGCTACATTGCTTGAATTACTGCAAACAGAATCAATAATTCTCCTTGGCCCTCTCAACCACCAATGACTGCTATTCCTTCTCTGGCAAAACACATTTCATCTTAAAGAAGAAAAGTAGGCAAGAGGACATCTGCAATTTAGATTGAATGTTTATCAGTAGGCCCACCTGATGGTAAAAAATATACATATTACACTTTTTTTAATACAGCCATAGAATTAGATTATTACCCCACAATTTTATGAAGGAAAATTATGTTCTCGGCATTATCTGAAAAATTACAGGGCTCTCATTTTCATTACAGTTCTATTTTAGCTCCAAATTGGTAGGTTTCCTAACATGACAATACTTTGGTTTTACATAAAGTGGAATTGCAGCAAAATAATACCTTGCATTTCTACACTAGTTCTAGAAGAGTCTTTTCAAGAAAATATTCCAGATGCACAAGGGACTACTATGCTTTATGG